CGACTCTCTACTGGCTGGTGGCCCCGACGCCGGTGGCCCTGACGACTGCTCCACGGTGTTTGCTGCCATGACAGCTTGCTCCAGGGTACGTGGATGCTCACGCATGACCTGTCGCTGGATGTGCGGCACTAGACCCCTGACGAACAGCAGCGCTCTGGTGTGGTGGTCGATTTCCGGCACTTGCAGGCTGAGGCGAGTGAAAGCAGCAATGTATGCGTCCAGCGACCCGCGCTGCGCTGCGGAAATTAGTCCCATACGCGATGTTTCCTCGTTGTGCCGTGGTCCGTACACATCGCCAAGTGCCGCTTTCAGAGCAGGCCAGTCGGAAAACACTTGGTTAGCTTCCAATGCCGCTATCAACCAAAGACGAGCGTTTCCAGTCAAAAATCCTGCCGCGTAGTCGACCCTCTGTGCCGCATTTGGGAGTGCCAACGACCGTAGGGCCATGTCCATTGCAAACGTCCATTCTTTGAATGTAGCGGAATCTCCTCCAAACACAGGCGGCTCTTTCGTAAGGCGGGGTGTTGGCTCCCACGGTTCCGAGTTCGGATGTATCGTTCGGTTTCCTTGGCTAACGCGCTGAGCGGTCTTGATATCGTTTATCAGCCGAACGACGAGTACGAGGAGCGTAAGCAGAGCGACCAGAACACCTGCCAAAAGCAGAGTAGTAACCATCCTCTGCTACCAGTGTAACAGGTTTAATCAAACTTGAAAAGTAAGAGGCCTGGTTGAGCGTGCCTCGACCAGTTATATGCAAAATGTGATAGTATACATGTGGCAATGGCGCCAATGAAGGTGCTAATAGACAGGCGTAAGACGCATGAGGTGCGAGGGAGTGTAAAGTTATAGAGAACAGGGGAAAACTGTTACAGCGAAGCTCTGGAGGAATTGGACTGGTGGATTGATCACCTGACAGACTGGAACGGTCGTCGTCTTCTCACGCCGAAACCAGACCTGGTGATAGAGACGGATGCCTCGACAGTGGGCTGGGGATCATCTTGCCAGAACTCCCAAACTGTGGCAAACAGGCGGTCCGTGGAGTTGTCAGAAACGAGAGATGCATATAAACTGCTTGGAGCCGTTAGCAGCCTTCCTGGCTGTAAAAGCATTTCTGAAGTCAAGTCGAAATCTTCTGGTTCACCTGAAGATGGACCGTGAACACCACAGCATTGACGTATATCAACAAGTTCGGAGGCACTGTGTCTCCCGACCTCAATCGCCTCACCAAAGAGGTGTGGACATGGTGCATGGCAAGACAGATAACTCTCCAGGCCACTCACTTAGCAGGATCACTGAACACAGTTACAGACGAGGAGTCTCGCGTGATGAAAGATCGATCGGACTGGATGTTGCATCCAGATGTATTCCAGGAGATCTTTGCTCGAATGGGTCCCATGAATGTAGACCTGTTTGCCTCTCGGCTGACACATCTCCTGCCGATGTATGTGAGCCGGCGTCCCGATCCAAATGCGATAGACGTGGATGCCTTCTCAGACTGGACAAAGTGTCAAGGTTATGCCAACCCACCTTGGAACCTGATAAGCAGAGTAGTAGCACAGGTCTGCCCTCAGAAATCTCGGATAGTGCTTGTTGCACCGGTAAGGCTGAGTCAACCGTGATATCCAGCTCTCCTGGACCTGCTGGTAGAGGAGCCCCTGTTGCTTCCCAGCACTCCAGATCTGATTCAGCCGACGCACAGCGTAAACGAACCGGAGATATTCCCTCGTCTACCCGCGTGGAATATCTCAGGAGAAAGTACACCAGTCAGAATGTTTCTGAGGAAGCTTCAGAACTCCTCCTTGCATCATGGAGGCAGAAATCTACGAAGACGTACGACTCCCTATTCAAGAAATGGATGGGCTGGTGTCGTGAACGGAACAATGATCCCTTTTCAAGTGATATAGCCACGATTGTCAACTTCCTGGCATCATTGTACAAAGCTGGTTATCAATACCGCTCTATCAATATTGACAATAATTAGTTACAGATCAGCAATTCCTGCCGTCCAGGAAAAAAACTGACAGGTATGACACTGGTCAACACCCAATGGTATCTCGTGCGGGTATCGATACTAGTATCTTCAAAGCACACTCTGTGCAGAGTGCTTCTGCATCCGCAACAGCGGATGCTGGTACTACTACGAATGATATCTGGAAAGCAGCTGACTGGAGCAGCCAGTCGGTCTTTCAGAAGCTCTATTATTAAACCCCAGCATGATGAGAAATATGCTCAGGCAGTTCTCTCGAAGCTGTCAACCACTGGCAGAGAGCTACAAAATCACATTGATATGGAGACAGAGCATTCTGAAGTATAATTACAGAATGGCTCAGACCACGCAGTGGTTGCCAGCTATTCTGGATTATATGAAGAATGTGATGTCGAACATATCAATGTCCCAACCCTGACCCTCCCTGTGTTATAATGCACATAATATGCTTGTTCCGAGGCTCGCTATTCAAAAGGCCGAAGAACATAGAGGGAACAAGGGCTTTTATCAACGAAACCTGGTGTTCCACGCATGCGTTAACACCAAGGATTCAAATAAAATCACAAAATTCATGAATTTTCACTACAAAAAAGCTATCAAGAGTTAGGAAACTAGGCCAAACACATTGATATGTACGACATCACATTCTTCATATAATCCAGAATAGCTGGCAACCACTGCGTGGTCTGAGCCATTCTGTAACTCCCTTGATAACATGTCCAGTCCACTACAATCAGTGACGGTCGTAGCTAGCTCGGACGGTGCGTTGACACCGTTGAACTTTTGCTACTACAGTACAACGCCCTCTACAAAAAAATCCCCCTGTTATTTTGCACAGAACCATCATATACATTAGCAGCATATGTGAGCATAATGTGGCATAATTTGATAACTTTTAGCATAAAAATAGCATAATTCTGCAATTTTTTTCAGCAATGCGAAAAGCATAATTTCACGAAAATATTAGCATAATCCGTCAGGCCTACACTGCATTATGAAAGTGATGTCAACTTGACTGAAACTCTGTCGGAACAGCTCTGTGTGCGGGAGTTGCACACTTCTGGGAACTGTATAGTTTTACAGAACTGCTCGGGACAATTTTATTATCTAGCTAGTACCGTCAAGTACCGTTGATCCGCCCCCTCTCCAATTGCCGGCCCGGTCGATTTTCTACCTGTGCAGCGACTTCGGCGCCGTGTACAACGAAATACTTTGTTGAACCGACGCATGCACTGCTGTACACAATACATGCCAGTGCAGGATGAAAAATGTGCGCAATCCAGCACATCGAGTCAGATCCTCCACGTTGTTGTACATTAGGGAGGTTTCGCTTTACGGAATTACGTATGAAAATAACGTAGAAACTGCACGGAATTTTCATACGTAAAAATCAGAGCTGCTGGGTTTCGCTCTACGTGATTTATCCACGACTGCTAAACATGCGTTGCTGCTTTGGAGACGCGTTGGCTGCATGCGCCCACCGCATGCACCATGAACCGAAACAGCGTTTTCCATCTTATTTTGCACGTGGTGTACGGTGTGTGTACGTTGTGTTGCGCGCGGCTTGAACGTTGCCATGGACAAATGCGGAAAATGCGAAAAAATATTTCAAAAAGTCCTCCGGAGGACCCAACGTAGGAAAGAGCTTTCCTACGGAAATCTGTAGAGAGATTTACGTATGAAAGCTGCCCTCGCTCCCCGGCCCGTACGACATACGGATTTTCATACGTAATTACGTAGAGCGAAACCTCCCCATTGTACTGCACTTGAAAGCCGTGATCTATTTCCAGTCCCACGCCGAAACCCGGCTGGGAAACTGGCTAGCGACAAAGCGCGTGTGTGTGTGTGGGGGGGGGGATGCTTTACGGTACCTATGCCAGAAACCATGTTCTGTGTGTGTATGTGTGTGTGAGTGCATGCTGGAGTATGTGGTGTGATCTGTGCGGAAAAAAATGAAAAAAGATCAAAAAGTAGGGATTCACTGGCCAGAAAAAGCCACTTCATAGCTGTGTGGTGTAGACTAGGCTGAATAGTGGCGGTCAATTCTTCAGCCTTGCAAGTTGTTGAATGGTGCAATCCCAGCACCAGCTGCTATGGCTTCTGCCGTAGCATCGCTATCATCGCCTTCGGCGATAGGCGTCCAATGGTCCAATGGTCCAATGGTGTGTGTGTGTGTGTGTGTGTGTGTGTGTGTGTGTGTGTGTGTGTCCCATTTGGTGCAGTGGTATGTGCAGCGATTTCCAATCGATAGGTTGCGGGTTCGAGTCCCGACGATTATGGTCATACACGTCTTTCTTCTCTTTCTCAGACTCCTCCTGACTTTTCTTTCATTCTCCTGGGTGGTTACCAACAGCCAGTGCATGCCGGGGTATGTGGTGTGATGTGTGTGCGGAAAAAATATGACAAAAGACCAAAAAGTAGGGATTCACTGGGCAGCAAAAGCCACTTCACAGCTGTGTGGTGTAGACCAGGCTGAATAGTGGCGGTCAATTCTTCAGCCTTTCAAGCTGTTGAATGGTGCAATCCCAGCAAAAGTTGCTATGGCTTCTGCTGTAGCATCGCTATCATCGCCTCTGACGATGGGCGTCCAATGGTCCAATGGCGTGTGGAAACCTGGGAGTAGTGAAATACCAGTATTTTACTACTCCTAGGTTGCAAACTTATAGCCTAGGTGAGTTGGTAGTACTAGTGAGTTCATTCGTGATTATTGCACCACACGATTCACTAGATCAGGGAATGTGATCTGCAAGAGCCCGAGCACATGCCCGTCCACAGCACAAGGCAGCAGAGGGCACTTTCCGAGTGGAGTGCAAACTCGCGAGTTCACGGGTTTTTCTCCCCCCCCCCCCCCTTTGCGTAAAGCTGCTCAACTAAAGTTGCTCAACTTTACGTAGTGGCTACTCAGTGGGGAACCTCTCTCATACATGTATTTCATTGGGTTTCCAAGTTTCCATAGCTGGAAAATTCTTCACTGAAAACTGTTTCGCTTCCTCAGAGTTGTACACAGTAAGTATGAAGGGGCTAACTACTGGATATGCCCAACAAAGAGCGTGAAATTGATTGGAAAAAATCACCAATAACTCCAATATTATAATATCAGTGAAAAGCTGGAACATTCTGCGCAGAGACATGAATGAAACCCATGCAAAATTAGCAATACAAGGTGTGCATTCACTGCGAGAAGGTCAGTGATAGTCGTTCCACAAGGATATACATGTACACGTACAAGTACATGTGCATCAGGGCATGCCAGTGTAAACAACGAACGTGCCAAGGCGTACCACTTCGGTAAACACTGCCGCAGGCCAGAGAAAAATGTAGCAACATGCTATGATTAATGATAATACCGGTAGTATCAAGCAGGGAGTAGTAAAATACCGGTATATTATTACCGCCTAGTATCACGTTCTTGTCTCCACAACTTCGGATTGCGGTAAAACAAAAATTAAACAAAATTGGTGGCCGTTTGCAATGGAAGTCACAAGGCTGCTAGCATACCGAATAGCCTAGTCAAGCGAGCAATTGAATAAAAAGGAGAAAAATAATGAAACTGGAATCCACTGCCGATAGGATGGCACTTGATTCTAATTGAGATGCTAGCAACGTAATACTGTAGAGACATTGTACAATTTCTTTGCTAACATTCTATCTTTTCGAATTGTCCGCAAAATAAGCATTGTAACTTCTAGTAAAGAACTGGGTAGAGTGCAAGAAAATCTGCTTAAGATACTTAGAAGAGAAGAGGAAATGGAAGCTATCATGTCTAGAAATGTATGGTATCATGCACTGGCATTGTCGGCAGGAACAGCCAGAAAACACCGCAGTCCTACCTGCCCATTGCTCAGATACATACAAAGCCATGCATATGTGACGATTAAAGCTCTGGATCCGCCAGAGAAAGATAGCTGCCATGTTGCTTCATTTGGTAGGAAATGACCCGCAGTGTGTGCATAGTCACTTTACACTTAGTGAAGGTATCATGATGGCTTTGGAGTGGCCTTCTCCAATAGCTCTACGACCGCATGATGGTTCCAGAATCTCGCTCCGTCCAGTGGTGTCATGCCATCCTAAACACAAGACAGTTGCAATACACACGTAACACACCTATCAGTATATACATCATGTCATACAGGTACTTATGCAGTTGTGCTCAGTGAAATCCCACCCAAAGTACATATTTGGTGCCATGAACTCGCACACCCCATGATACCCAGGATGTGGTACGAATGCGGCTGGACATACACATGTACCAGTACAGTGATGACATCGGAACTGGTCCAGGGTGTCAGCTTTGCACTTTAGGCCGGATTTCAATACTCACAATTGTACTTGGTCACTGCCTTAATCTGATCCCTCCCGGGTGATTGGGCGGCAATTTCGGAGTTTGTGCTTCTGCCACTTTCGAAATGGATTTTTTGCCTTATCAAATATAATCCTGCATGTGCAATTTAAGTCTAATTCACATTCGACGCAAAGCCGACGGTACGGGATGTAAGGGCTTGTCGGGAGGGCTGAGGTGAGCTGTAAAATCCTGTACGATTCGTACGACACGGCATGCAGCAGTCGTTGCGACGTTCAACGTCGAACGGCGCGAGTCATAAGGCACGATCCGTGACGGGGTGACTTTCGGACCTAATTTCTCGTTTTTCGGGATTTCTTTTCAATTATTTCTCCTTGAAAGACACGGAATCAAGTTCACAATACCAGTTTTTCATGAAGACCAGAAAATTTGCCCCGAAAGTTGTGGCATTCAAATAAAAAAATTCACGGTTCGCGTCAGACTCGGTTTCTCTATACGGAATAATAGCCCCAGGAAATGATAGAATAGTTCCTCTGTCACGCTTCTGAACTATCCCTAAATACAATAACTGACATGAGATCTTATGTTGCTAAAATTCAACTCAAGTGGTGCTTGCCATTCTGTGAGTTATCATGGGAAGCGCAGTGTTCGAAATGTAAAAGATGTCCAAGTACGAATCGAGAGTAGTCGGCGCACAACACCGTCTCCTGTTCACACTCGAATTACAGCTGTTTTGTACGCTTGCGTCCCCATCTACGCCCGTCTACTGTATGAAAAGTTGTATCGATCCAACTCTACCCGTCGCTTCCCGATCTGTATGGTAGTACGGTTGCGTTCCCGTTCTGGTGTTCACATTAGACGCCGTCAGACCGTCCAGTCGATCCTTACGTCGCGTCCCGTCGCGCCCGTCGAATGTCAACTAGGCTTTAGTATCGTACTCGTAATGCAGATTCAGTGACACCTGGCCAGTTCACGCGGCTGCACACTCGTAGTACATACTTCGTACGGTATAACTGCCTTATGATCTGGAGAAAAGTTGCCATCAACTGAATCCGCCAAGGGCCAAACCAAGCGGAGTTTCCCATGTACTCTGCAAACTGAAGGGCACTCACGCGTCTCCGACATGTTGATGTAGAGTGACGCAAGAAACAAAAGGAGGAGGAAGGCATGCAGAAGTCTTAGTTTCCGTGCTTCTGTTCTTTGCTCGCGAAACCAGTTTGTGCAGCTAGTCCACCTAAACCCGACGTGAGGGTTAACGTATGAAAATCCTGTATTCACATCTGGAATGCTTGAGGTCCTGTATGCACAGCCTACTATCCATGAGGATGGAGCCTGCGCTGCATTAGCCTGCAGCAATGTAAGATACAATATACATCTAGCTCGGAATACTTTCCGGTTTCAGCTCATGCGCCTGAAGTTCCCCTGTATACTTCTCCCAAAAGGTGTTCCAAGTTTTTGTACTTCGACATACTAGCCTCTCATATGTGTAATGGATGGAACATAACTATTGTTCCGTCTGGGCCTGCTCAGGTGCAAGATTCTGGCATGATGGCGTCCCTCAAAAATATACCAAGCAATGGAAGCGTGACTGATTTTAGAAAGATAGACACAACACCCTGGGGCAAAGACCTGCACACATTAAAGTGGTGAGGAGGCCATAAATGAAATTTTCCGATTATGACAGGATTCCACTTGGGTAAAGGTCGCACATGATTTATTGTACATTAAATGTACAATGCAAACACAGCACAGAATCATCCTGGTTCATAACACTCAATGTTACTGTGCTTTACCTCATTCTTGATTTTACAGTCGGCGCCTGCAGGGAGCAGCTCTTGACACACCTTGAATCCACCTCTCATGGCAGCATCGTGCAACGGAGTGTTGCCACCCTGGAACAACAGGCAAGAAACAACAGTACCGGAAAACGTTCTTGAAAAGTCTGATTGTAGATCACAGCCGCAATTGTAAATCAATGCAAAACAATGCAGAGTGGAATTCGACAGTTGGTGGATATGGTACTACTTGTCTGATATTTACATTGCATGATTGCCGTTAGTGTACTGATATACGTGTACACTTATACCTCGGTTATCCAGACCCCAAAGTTACGGGCATTTCAGGCTACCGGACACACTTTGGGTGAGTTTAAGTGGAAATGTTACTACTTTTTTGGCAATTTTTGTGGAAATAGTGGCGACATATGCCATATTTATGGCCACTCCTCGTCAAAATGTATGTGATTCGGAGTTACGGACATTTTGAAGTTACGGGCAATGCCCGGATAAACAAGTTATGAGTGTATTTCATATTGTCGGATCATTGTGTTGTTGTACAAAGTGGATCAACGCCCAGGATGTGGTACGAATGCGGCTAGACGTACACATAATGCAAGTGCAGTGATGTGATCGGAACTGGTCCATGGTACCAGCTTTGCGCTTTAGGTCACATGTCAGTGAAGATAATTGTACGTCGCTGCACTAATCTGATCCCTCCCGGGTGATCAAGCAGCAATTTCGGAGTTTGACCTTTTGCCACTTTCATAATATTGATCCTTTCGACTTTTATCCTGGTTGTGTAATTTTATAACGTACTCGTAATGCAGGTTCAGTGAAGCTCAGCCTATTCACGCGGCTGCACACTCGTAGTACATACCTCATACGGTGTAACTGTCTAATGATCTGGAGAAAAGTTGCCGTCAACTGAATCCGCCCAGGGCCAAACCAAGAGGAGTTTAGCATGCACTCTGCAAACGGAACGGCACTCGCGGCGTCTTCGACATGTTGATATAAAGTGGCGCAAGAAATAAAAGGGGGAGGAAGGCATGCAGAAGTCTTAGCTTCCGTCCTTCTGTTCTTTGCTAGCGAAACCAGTTTGTGTAGCTACTGCACCTTAACCCGACGTGAGGGTTCATGTACGGAAATCCTGTATTCACATCTGGAATGCTCAAGGTTCTGTATGCACCGTTTACTATTCACAAGGATGGAGCCGGCACTGCCCTAGCCTGCAGCAACGTAAGATACGATAATACTTGTAGCATCGAATACTATTCTGCTTCCAGCTCACGCGCCTGCCATTCTCCTGTATGCTCTTCCTGAAGTCGTTCCAAGTTTTTGTAATTCGACATACTAGCTCTCACATGTGTAATGCATGGAATATAATATTGTTCTGTCTGGACGCGCTCAGGTTAAAAATTCTGGCATAATGGAGTCTCTCAAAAATATACCAAGCAATGGGAGTGTGACCGATTTTGAGAACAATAGACACAACACCCTGGGGCAATGACCTGCACACATTAATGGGGTGTGGAGACAGTAGATGAGAATTTTCCGGTTATGACAGGATTCCCCTCGGGTAAAGGTCGGGGAACACATGATTTTTGTATGTTTATTTTATTATGTAAAATAGAACAGGATCATCATCGTTCATGACACTCTAAAAGAATACTGTTTTTTTACCAAATCCTTGATGTTACAGTCGGCCCCTGCAGCGAGCAGCGCTTGACACACCTTGAGGTTACCTATCCTGGTGGCAAGGTGCAACGGAGTGATACCATGCTGGAAGCACACGCAAGAAACAACAGTACAGGAAAAAGTTCTCAATTAGTTTGATTGTACAAGTAGATCACAGGCACAACTGTAGATCAAAGCAAAACAATTCAGAGTAGAATTCAACAATTGGTGGATATGGTACTACTTGTCTGGTATTTACATTGCATGATTGCCATTAGTGTACAGACATACATGTACACTTATACCTCGGTTATCCAGACCCCAAAGTTACAGGCATTTTAGACTACCGGGCATTTTTGGGCGAGTTTCAGTTGAAATGATAGTACTCTTTTGGCAATTTTTGTGGAAATAGTGACGGCATACACCATATCTATGGCCATTCCCGTTCAAAATGTATGCGATTCGAAGTTACAGACATTTCGAAGTTACGGGCAGTGCCCGGATAAACAAGTTATGAGTGTATTTCATATTGTCAGATCATTGTGTCGTTGTACAAATTGGATCAACGCCCAGGATGGGGTACGAAAGCGGCTAGACGTACACATATGCAAGTGCAGTGACGTGATCGGAACTGGTCCATGGTACCAGTTTTGTACTTTAGGTCGCATTTCAGTGAAGACAATTGTACGTCGCTGCCTTCATCGGATCCCTTCCGGGTGATTCAGCGGCAATTTTGGAGTTTGTACGTTTAAAAAAAAAAGTAAATTATCGTATCCGTTCCCGAAGGGAACTCACGACGGCCGCTAACACCCGATAAACCCTAGCGGCAGATGTACGTTTACCACTTACATAATTGATTTTTTGCCTGTTATCCTGCATGTGTAATTTTATAACATACTCGTAATGTAGGTTCAGTGAAACCAAGCCTATTCACGCAGCTGCGCATTTGTAGTACACACCTCGTACTGTATGAATCCACCCAGGGCCAGACCAAGCGGAGTTTCCCATGCACTCTGCAAATTTCCAGGGCACTGACAGTTTCTCTGGTATGTTGATGTAGAGCGACACAAGAAACAAATGGAGGAGGAAGGCACGCAGAAGTCTTAGCTTCCGTACTTCTGTTCTTTGCTCGTGAAACCAGTTTGTGCAGCTAGTGCACCTAAACCCGACGTGAGGGTTCATGTATGGAAATCCTGTATTCACATCTGGAATGATCGAGGTCCAGTATGCACAGCCTACTATTCACGAGGATGGAGCCTGCGCTGCCCTAGCCTGCAGCAATGTTAGATGAGCCGCAATCAGCGAAAACGACCCTTAGAGGTTTCGTAATTTTTTCAAGAAAAAGGTCGATTTGTGACGTTCAACGGTTTTTTGATCGCGCTGCGAACAGTGCGGCGAGTTCTTCTTGAACTCCTTGCTTGAATTTATTTGAAGTTTGTAAGTTGAAGTGGTGTCGAGTGGCGAGTCGAGTGTTCCTTGATCTTGTTGGAATGGCTGCGGACGCCAGAGCTGTTCGCAGAGCACATGCGGCAGTCATTGTGTACAGCTAGCTCGAGCCTGGTTGGGAGTGGATGCTGAAGTAGCCGCTGAAGGTCAGTGTGAGGATGAAACGTTCTTTGGTTCCGACATCGATGCCGACAGCGAGGCGGAATCGCAGCAGTCATCTCCTACTGCGTTGCGGCTCAAGATGGTCGATGACTCGTCAGAGTCGGAAGATGAGGAGTCATCACCTGAGATAAATTCTGAGTCTGGGGCTAGTGACGGCAGCGACGTCGTGTCGTCAGCTGCGGAGGAAGAAATGGAAGACCGTCATTGCGGAACGACTACACGCAGGATACAGCTGCAAATAAGTCGATCATGTCTCCGCACTCTTCAGCTATTCTTTGTCTTTCTAGCTGCTTACTGCACTCTTTCAAAGGTGTTCAAGCTGCCTACCCATCTTAGAATGCTGAATATTTATTGTAAACATACATCGTATACACACATTCCACCAATTTGGAGTACACCTTGTATATTGGTGTATACACTCGTTTTGAATCGGAATATTGAACTTTTTCTTGGCTGAGGTCCTTCAGTAGATGTGTTTCAACAAATTTCTAACCAAAAAGGAATTTTGAAAAATTTGACCCTAAGGGCTGTTTTTGCTTGTTGAGGCCCAGATACAATATACGTGTAGCATTGAATACTTTTCTGCTTCCAGCTCACGTGCCTGAAGTTCTCCTGTATGCTCCTCCCGAAGTCGTTCCAAATTTGTGTACTTCGACATACTAGCCCCTCATACGTGTAATGGAACAGAATAATTATTGTTCCCTCTGAACCCGCTCAGGTGAAAGATTCTGGTATGATGGCGTCTCTCAAAAATATACCAAGCAATGTGAACGTGACTGACTTTGAGACCAATAGACACAACACCCTGGGGCAAAGACCTGCACACATTAAAGTGGTGAGGAGGCCGTAAATGAAATTTTCCGGTTGTGACAGAATTCCACTAATCTGGTGAAGGTCAGGGAACACATGATTTACTGTACGTTAATTGTACAGTACAAACACAGAACAGGATCATCCTGGTTAATAACACTCAATGTTACTGTGCTTCACCTTATTCTTGATTTCACAGTCTGTGCCTGCAGCGAGCAGCGCTTGACACACCCCGAATACACCTCTATGGGCGGCTTTGTGCAACGGAGTGTTGCCAATCTGGATGCAAATGCAAGAAACGACAGTACAGGAAAAAGTTCTCAATGAGTTGTTAGTTTGTAGAACACAGTCACAACTGTAGATCAAAGCAAAAACAATTCAGAGTAGAATTCAACAGTTGGTGGATATGGTACTACTTGTCTGGTATTTACATTGCATGATTGCCATTAGTGTACAGACATACATATACACTTATACCTCGGTTATCCGGACCCCAAAGTCACGGGCATTTCAGGCTACCGGACACCCTTTGGTTGAGTTTCAGTGGAAATGTTACTACTCTTTTGGCAATTTTTCTGGAAATAGTGACGACATAATTATGCCATATTTATGGCCATTCCCGTCAAAATGTATGTGATTCAGAGTAACGGACATTTCGAAGTTACGGGCAGTGCCCAAATAAACAAGTTATGAGAGTATTTCATACTGTCGGATCATTGTGTCGTTGTACAAATTGGATCAACGCCCAGCATGTGGTACGAATGCGGCGAGACGTACACATAATAGGCAAGTGCAGTGATGTGATCTTACCTGGTCCATGGTACCAGTTATGTGCTTTAGGTCACATGTCAGTTAAGAGAAGTGTACGTCGCTGCCTTAATCTGATCCCTCCCGGGTGATTCTGTGGCAATTTTGGAGTTTGTGCTTTTGCAAATTTCAAAATGGATGTTTTTGCCTTTTATCCTGCATGTGTGATTTAATATCGTACTCGTAATGCAGGTCCAGTGAAACCCGGCCAGTTCACGCAGATGCACATTCGTAGTACATACCTCATACGGTGTTACTGTTTAATGATCTGGAGAAAAGTTTCCGTCAACTGAATACGCCGAGGGCCAAACCAAGCGAAGTTTAGCATGCACTCTGCAAACGGAATGGCACTCACGACGTCTCCGACATGTTGATATAAAGTGGCGCAAGAAATAAAAGGAGGAGGAAGGCATGCAGAAGTCTTAGCTTCCATGCTTTTGTTCTTTGCTCGCGAAACCAGTTTGTGCAGCTAGTGCACCTAAACCTTACGTGAGGTTTCATGTGTGGAAATCCTGTATTCACATCTGGAAGGCTCGAGGTCATGTATGCACAGCCTACTATCCATGAGGATGGAGGCTACGCTGCCCTAGCCTGCAGCAATGTAAGTGTTAGGTACCTCCGCCCGTACAGTATACCCTTTTCCCCTAGCTGGCCTACATGCACCCATACTACGTCATTCTCACCTTTCGCTCCGTTGGCCTGGGTAGCTACTTGCGCACCCATGTTTGCCATAGCTACCCAGGCCCTTTATATTGCGTTGCTGCTCTCTCAACTGTCTCTTCAAATAATCGCTCACACAATGTAGTTGTTGCGTTGCGTTGCGTCTACCATAATAAATGTTTCCCTCCACTCGTTCCCGTCGTCCGTTGCGTTGCGTTTGGGAGGATTGAGGTACCAGAATGTCCAACATAAGATACAATATACATGTAGCTCGAAAACCTTTTCTGTTTCCAGCTCATGCGCCTGAACTTCACCTGTATATGGTATCACTTATGATTTCCAGAAAAGTCACGTCAACTGAATCATGCCCCCTGCCCATGCACCCTGTCAACATGTCGGAGACTCATGACGTCTCCAATATGTTGATAAAGAGCATCGCAAGGAACAGAATGAGAAACACAACTTGCAGAAGTCTTTAACTTCCCTGGTTTTGTGCTTTGCTCTCGAAACAAGTTTGTGCAACTTTTTGCTTTTCAGTTTCCAGATCATGCACCCGAAGTTCTCCTTTCTACTCCTCCCGAAGTCATTCCGAGTTCTTGTACAGGTAGACTCCCTCTAATTCGAGTACAGTATAATTCGAGCATTCCGTGTAATTCGAACTTTTTCGTCGTACCGATCTTCTGCAAGTCACTTCAAGTTAAATTCGAATGCATAATTCGAAGTACGAAAAGTGCACCCGCTGGATAATTCGAACTCTGTCTTCGTACAGAAGTGCAGTTTACAGTACAGTGACTATGTCCTTCGAGCGCTTATTTCGAAGTGAGATGGAGTTGCTGTACTCGTAATTCGAAGTTCATTTTTTCTCCTTCTCTAGCCAAGAGCAACTCAGAAATGGATCCCTGGTCCGCTCTAGGATCGACAATAGCGTTGAAGAAACCCACCTTCTCTCGAAATTTTATCCAAGCCTGTGCAAGGCAAAGTGCAAAGATTTGATTGAAGACGACTTCTTCCAGGTGGTTGGCTCCCTTCGCGGATCTCAATGGCTTGTCATGCCGCGCCAGCTCATGCGCAAAGAAGTTTAGGACTGAACAACAACTGAAAGTCGTAAACATTGTCTATGCCTATGCTCCACTTCCGTTCTTCAGAACGACCTGCTCCTCTCTGGCGGGCTTTCATGACGCAGAGAAGGCAGTGCTGTTCTTTTGCGTTGAAATCGTTTCAAGACAACTGCAGCGATTGAAAACTGCTTCACTAGAACTTATTAGAAGATGAAAATAATGTCCAATGACTTCATGTCGATCCAGTGTTTTGGTAAAATGAACTGATTTCGTTGTTCATGACCACCTTTGGCGCTTGTGCCTGTGGTAGTGAGACTTATCCACTCACCCCCACTGTTAGGCGCTGCATCTGCCGCTAGGGTTTACCGGGTGTTAGCGGCCGTCGTGAGTTCCCTTCTGGAACGGACACGATAATTTCCTTTAATTTTTAATTTTTTTATGTTTCGTTGTTGCAAATAAAATATTCAAAAATAATCAGCACGCAATTTCGAGCATTTTGACATACATAGCAGTATATGGGACTGCATTTTGGATAATTAGAAGTTCCAGATAATTCTAATTTAGTGCCCGGCAATTTGAGGTTCGAATTAGACGGAGTCTACCTGTACTTCGACATACAAGCAGCTAATAAATGTAATGGATGGAACATAATATTGTACCGCCTGCACCTGCTCAGGTGAAAGATTCTGCCCCTGCAGCGAGCAGCGCTGGCACATATCGATTTTTTCTGCCCAGGTAGCATGGTGCAACGGAGTGTTGCCATGCTGGAAGCAGTTAATTTTACAGAGTAAAGCAGAAAAGGATCAGCATGGTTCATGGCACTCTAAATCCGGTTCATTACCGTATTCTTGGTGTTACAGTCCGCCCCTGCAGCGAGCAACGCTTGACACACCTCGAGTTTACCTGTCTGGGCGGCATCGTGCAACGGAGTGTTGCCTCGCTGGATGCACACGCAAGAAACAACAGTACAAGAAACAGTTCTCAATGAGTTTGAGACACACCTCGATTCTACCTCTCATGGCGGCATGGTGCAACGGAGTGTTGCCAAACTGGAAGCACATGCAAGAAACAACAGTACAGAAAAAAAGATCTTGGGACGTCTGAGTGTAGATCACAATCACAATTGTAAATCAAAGCAAAACAATGCAGAGTGGAATTCAACAGTTTGTTCATATTGTACTACTTGTCTGGTACTGCCGTGGACATGGAAATCCGGTCGCACGTCTAGCGGCCCCTAGGCGCTGCCCATGCAGCCTTGATTCGGTACGCGTAGTCTACGGTACACACATGCAGTGCACTGGTCATATCTGATAAACATGTGCACTGCATGCAACGTTCTGTACTCACTGAAAGCGCCGTTCCCGGTCGTTCCACTGGATTTCCATGTCCAAGACAGTATTTTCATTGCATGATTGCCATTAGTGTACAAGCATACTTGTATGTCATATTTTCTTATCAGTGTGTTGTTATACAACTTGGATCAACGCCCAGGATGTGGTAGGAATGTGGCTAGACATACACATATGCAAGTGCAGTGATGTAATCTGAACTGGTCCAGGGTGACAGCTTTGCACTTTATTAGTTCGGATTTCAACACTCACAACTGTACTTGCTCACTGTTTGGGTTTGAGTGCATACTTTCAGAGCGTGGTGAAGGTAAGTTACGTGATAAAGGCAGAGAGCCGCGAACTGACCCATAACCACAGTTGCATACTCTTGTTTATGCACTCTTGCTACTATCCATGAGGATGGCTCGGAGTCTGTGCTGCACTAGCCTGCAGCAATGTAAGATACAATATACATGTGTTAGGTACCTCCTCCCGTACCTTTTCTAGCTGGCCTGCATGCACTTGCGTACGCACCTTTTGTCTCCTTTTGTTCCGTTGGCCTGGGTAGCTACTTGCGCGCCCATATTTGCCATAGCTACCCAGGCCCTTTATCTTGCCGTTCAGGCTTGCTCTCTTTTCCCACTCTTCAATGTAGTCGTTTCGTTCGTCTTGGTCTCTTGTCTCGTCGTCTATAATAAATGTCGTTCCCCCAACCTACCTGTTCCCGTTGTAATGTCTGGATATGTCGTCAGTCGTCCTGTTTCCAACTCAACATTGGCGCCCGATTATTGATCGACCCACGACCCTGAGATCATCCCATGCCCAGCCGTCCTCAACCGCCATTCGTCTCGTCTATGTCAATCTCGTCTCGTCCATGTCAGTCTCGTCTCTCCTATGCCAACCTCGTCTCGTATCTATCAACCTCGTCTCTCCTACGCCAACCTCGTCTCGTCTATATCAACCTCGTGTCGTTCAAGCGTTGCAGGTCAGCTACCTTTCTCTCTTTCTTTTTTTGTATGCGTTCCTTCTTCGTCAAATTTATTTTCGTGAATTTTTTTGTAGTGTGTGTGCGCGCGGGTGTCCTTCATTAATATTAGGGGTCCGATCATGGTGAGCCACGCTCTCTTATTTATGTCGTACAATTTAAAGTGTAACTAGGCTCTATTAGCCGTGCAAAACACTAGTCATCAGAATACAATACAAGTCCCTCGTCGAACTCCAATAGTTATTTTTTGTGCCATGTTTTGAAGGGGCGTTTGGGCCCGTTGTTATTGGCAATGTACACACTATAGTATGAGTAGTACAGGAACGTTGACGGTTGTAATGATCTGTAGTGCATTTTTTAGTACACACTTTTGTGAGGCCCGTGCGTTGTGTGTGTGTGTGTGTTTTCTCCATCAGTCATTTTTTTTAAATCTTTTTCTCT